GGTTTAGGGCGGCCTTCTGTAACTGAGTATTACAACTACTCAGATGAGTTCTGATATTAGTACTTTTATTGCCATGATTACTGTCATGGTTGTGATTATTTAGTTAGTATCATTGTTATTATTGTAAGTATTACTAATATGGTTGTGAATACTAGTACTATTATCACGACCATGCTTACTGTTATTACGACTCACCTTTCTGGCCGGTTTCGCATGCATGGCTGGCCAGGTCTGGAAGCAGCGGCTGAATCGCGCGTGGCCTTAATTCGTTGCCAGGGCTTTGGAGGACGTAGTGAGGGCAGCAACAGCACCCGAAGCGACTCCGATAAGCCCAGCATCAAGCCGGTATAAGGTTTGGGGGTTCAGGGGGTTCGTATCATAAATATAAAATATAATATACCCCCAGCCCTATTCTAATTATTAGGGCCCCTATATTAGGTTTTAGGTTCAGGGTTTTGGGTTCAGGTCAGGGGTTTAGGGGCTAGGGTCGCAAAAGTGCCAGCATGGCACTGGGCCGGCTTGTTGCGAGCTTTAGAAGAAAGCTTGCAGGCACCAAGAAGAGACGGTTCCAACGTGCCTGGAGCAAAATCCTGGGTTTAGGGTTTAGGGTTTAGGGCTTGCCTTGCTCCAGGGATGATATCGCGATCCCGGACACTGGATGCTGCCTTCAGTGATGCCTGGAAAGTTGCGCATGCAGATCTGCCGTCCCGTAGTTAGACATGACGAACCTGCTTTTTTCCATCGCCCGTAGCTGTTTCTGCTGAGGGCGGCTTCAGAGGGGAGGATCCTCAAAAGACTGCTAGCCTGCAGCCCCGAGAGCAACAGATATGCAGCCTCGTTGAGAGCCTGCTCTTTTTTTCTATCACTGTTATGAGTGCTATTATTATTATTATTATTATTGTTATTTCTATTATTATTATTGTTATTGCTATGACCGCAACGGACCAAAGACGCCTTGAGCCCCCCAGCAGCCAACTCGGGGTGTCGACCCGTTTTTGATAACAAGAGAGAAGTCGGCATGCCATGAGCTGCGCCCATCGAGACAGGCGGGGCTTCATGGGCACCGAGTATCCGAGTCTAAGCCCCGAAATCCTTGCGCCCCAAACCCGAAACCCTAAATCCTCCTAATATAGAGGGCTTAATAACTACCCATAATATCTTGGGGGCTCCTTATCAGAATTATCTTATAATATACACCAATAATTACCCAGGTTCCTTATTATAATTATAGTATAATACACACCAAAAACCTGTTCGACTTAGGAAGGCCTCTATAGCAAGCCCCAAAGCCCTACATTCCCAAAAGATCCCTCCCAGCTCCTAAACCCCAAACCCTTTAGACCCTAA